CTGGGCCAACATAGCCCCCAAGATGGGCCAACATAGCCCCAAGATGGGCCAACATAGCTCCAAGATGGGCCAACATAGCCCCAAGATGGGCCAACATAGCCCCAAGATAGGCCGCCGACCGTCAAAATATCCTGCGTTTTACAGTGATTTATTGCTGTTCCCATTTTTCGGCTCTTTTGGCTCAACATGGGTCAACATAGGCCTCAAGATCGGCCCACATAGCTTTCAAGATAGGCCAACATAGCCCCAAGATGGGCCCACATTGCCCTCAATAGCCCCAAGATGCCACAAAATGGACCAACATAGTTGGGCCCCTGGCCGGCTGTCGCGCGTAAGCAGTTAAATTCGGCTCCGCCGGCTCCACACGAGTACGCTGACAAATGCGTCACGAGCGTCCCAGAGCGACTAGAGCTCTATGGTGAGGCGCGCCCCAAACCGCCGACCCTCCGACGGCGGGCCCCGAAAAACACCAAAATCCTTCAGGAGGGTGGGGGAGAGCTTTTTGGACGGAATCCGGGTCGCTCATAAGCGTCTCCAAGAGCAAAATCCCGCCCCCCCCCCGTTTGGAGGGTACACCCAGTCGGGCTTAAAGTCAGTGCACCGTCTCTTTGAAACACAAATCACCATGGGACGCCGCGCATTCGGGAAGTCAGAGAAGTCAGTGCAATTTAATGTAAATTAGCATGGGACGCTGTACGCCAGCAATCATCTAATTTGCTTCATGCCCGGTGTTTTTGATGGCTCTAAAATTAGGAATCACATTGTGGACGCTGCATCTATGCAGTCATTATTTTAAGTCATTTTGAATGATTTTGTTGAAGAACGCGATGGGACGCAAGTTTCACCACAACTCCAGTCAAAGTGAAGCGACCAACCAAAGATACAGGTGCAAGGACGGATACAGTCCAAACAATAGCCGACAAGGCGAGCGTTGGCCGTTGGCCTCAAGCACGCAGGGCTGTTGCCACCCCGATCGCCCGGCCAGTGACGACTGCTGTTTGTGCCCCTTGTGGCGCACGCAACTCGGTAGTGGGAAGGTAAGCAGCAGCAGCAACAGCAGCAACAGGACCAGCAGAACCAGCAGTAGTAGCAGCAGTAGCAGCAGGAGCGACAAGGCAAGACAAGGCAAAACAACTCAGGTATTTCCGGCGATACTCTGGCGATACCCCGGCGATACCCTAAAATGGAGAAAAAAAAACCTCGCCACCAATCCCCCTCATCATTTCAACACAATCACATCTCCAAATTTCAAAAGGGCAAAACCCAACACAATCCAATTCCCAATGGAACTGACGAATTAGGTAAATTCCAAACATGCAAAAACGCAGGTAAAAGTATCAATAATCAAAACCGTGTTTTCCAAACACAAGCTGGACGCCGCACGCATCGACTTCCACAATTCTTTCCCCCCAACTAGACGCAGCAAAACATGTGAACGCATTGAGTTTCCAAGTGGAGAGTACCTAAAATCGGAAAAAAGCGCCGTTTTGACACATTTTTCGGACGATTTTTCGCTTTTCGAAAGTCACATTTACAGCATTTTTGCGTTTTAACGTCTTTTGCGGGAGCCATGCAAAAACGCAGAAAATGCTGTAAATACCAATACTTTTTGGACCCGAGATGCACAAAACACTGCAAATACCAGTGTTTTTGAAAGCCAAGCAAAAAAACACCGTAAATTACAGCATTTTTGGCGGGATGATCGCAAAAAATGCTAGTATTCACAATGTTTTTGCAATTTCAAGAAAACGAAACACTGTAAATAGCGGTGTTTTGGCCACTTTTGGACGCCGAAACGCTGGTATTTACGCAGTTTTTTGCCCGTGGCGGCGCCAAACCCCTGTAAATTACAGCATGTTCTTCCCTTTTTTAACCGATTTTTTTGCGTTGATGAACGAAACGCTGGTACTTACGCGTTTTTCAAAAAATCGAAGATCGTGACGTGAACGAAACCGTGTAAATAACAGTGTTTTAGCCACTTTCGGGGACTAAAACTGTGGTATTTACGCGGGTTCTTGCCATCTGACAGCGCAAAATGCTGTAAATTACAGCACTCAGTGCGCTGTTTATGTTCAATTTTTTAACCTGCGATGCTTTCACCTGTTCTTTGCATTCTTCCACAAGAAACAATGTTGCAGATTGAAACTGGACGACAGCGTGACCCGAAAGAAAGCTGGATGGAGGAGTCGCACAGAAGCTTTTACACACAGACGCGTTTGCACATAGAAGCTTTTACACAGAGAAGCTTTTACACAGAGGAGCTTTTACCCACAAAAGCATTTGCACACAGCAAGCTTTTACACACACAGGGGCTTTTACAAGGAGAAGTCTTTACACAAAGGAGCTTTTTACACACAGAAGGTTTTACACAGAGAAGTCTTTACTCTAAGGAGCTTTTGCACACAAACGTCTAGGAGCCTTTACACACAGAAGCTGTTACACAAAGAAGTCTTTACACAGAGGGCTTTTTACACACAGACGCGTTTGCACACAGAAGCTTTTACACAGAGAAGCCTTCACACAGACGAGCTTTTACACACAAAAGCATTTACACACAGCAAGCTTTTACACACACAGGGGCTTTTACACGAGAAGTCCTTACACAAAGGAGCTTTTTACACGCAGAAGGTTTTACACAGAGAAGTCTTTACTCCAAGGAGCTTTTGCACACAAACGTCTAGGAGCTTTTTCACACAGAACTTTTTACACGAAGAAGGCCTGACAGAGAGAGTTTTTAAAAAACAGACGCGTTTGCACACAGAAGCTTTTACACAGAGAAGCCTCTACACAGAGGAGCTATTACACACAAAAGCATTTACACACACAGGGGCTTTTACACAGAGAAGTCTTTACACAAAGGAGCTTTTTACACACAGAAGGTTTTACACAGAGAAGTCTTTACTCTAAGGAGCTTTTGCACACAAACGTCTAGGAGCTTTTTCACACAGAACTTTTTACACGAAGAAGGCCTGACAGAGAGAGTTTTTAAAAAACAGACGCGTTTGCACACAGAAGCTTTTACACAGAGAAACCTTTACACAGAGGAGCTTTTACACACAAAAGCATGTACACACACAGGGGCTTTTACACAGAGAAGTCTTTACACAAAGGAGCTTTTTACACACAGAAGGTTTTACACAGAGTCTTTACTCTAAGGGGCTTTTGCACACAAACGTCTAGGAGCCTTTACACACAGAAGCTGGTACACAAAGAAGTCTTTACACTGATATATAGCTTTCACACACAGACGCGTTTACACACAGAGGCTTTTACACAGAGAAGCCTTTACACTTTACACAGAGAGTTTTTACTCACCGAAGCTTTTACACACAGTGAAATCTTTACACAGATGTTTCACACAGAGAGGCTTTCACACACAGAAGCTTTTACACAAAGAAGTCTTTACACAAAGTGGTTTTTACACACAGAAACTTTTACACACAAAAGCTTTTACACAGAGAAGTCTTTGCACAGAGGCGCCTTGACACGAAGTAACAAGTTGAAATTAACAGCAGTTCTTCGGGAAAAACCCTTGGCAGGAGCTTTCGGGAACTCACTTGCTCCCCAAAAAAGCCGTCTATTTCCAACAAAGTTCCTATTCCATGAACTTTTTTCAAAAAACATAAGGAATATATTTCTGAAGCAGGTCCCCATCCAAAAGCTTTCCAGCCCACACTGCGATGAAATGGAGGGTCGAGAAATCCGGCGGAGCCGACGAGGGGCGTCAGCCCTTAAAAAAAAAATATATATATATATATATAAACACCATTCTTGATTCCAATTGGATACCTTGCTGATGACAGAATATGAACCCAATCAGCCCAATTGCAACAAATCACAAGTGTTTCACAGATTCCTTGCATTTAGAATATTCCTGCATGTAGTATGGTTGTATGTGTATTATATGTGCTCTAAATACCTACCTTAAGAATAGCACAGTGTTTGCATATAGGAATTAAAAAAATATATATATATGAATATATCACGGGCATCGCGTACATGCATGCATATGAAAGAAAATGAATATATATATATATATATATACATGCATAAATGTACATACATTCTGGTGTCTGTGTTCACGTGCCTCCCTGCGACCACAACCCCTGCCGCAAATCAGCCTTTCATCTCGATCTGGAATAGATCTGTATTTGCTGCAGATATCATCCACAAAATGAAATGTTTCATAGCCAAACAATTCCAAATCAATCAAGCAAATATAGATGTTTCACACATTTCATGCACTTAGAATATTCTGGAGTCTCAAGCCAGGGGTTGTCTTGCGAAAAAAGTTGGAAGTGTTTCACAAGTTTGATGCACTTAGAATATTCTCAAGATCATTATCCATTTAATATCATATATGTTTAAATATTCTATCTGCGAATCCAGGCTTCCTTGCACTTAGAATATTCCCAGCAGGGAGCCCGCGGCTAATTTTTTTGGCTGGAAGTTGATTGACTTAATATTCTAAGTGCGGGTCCTCAAGTATAATTATATTATATATAGCCTCTTATAATGCCATAATATATATAATATAGCTGCATTATATAGCTATCTCCGTTCAGTTTGATCGCTTGACCATCTGAGATCTTGGCCCCGCAGGCATGAGGAGGTAAAATGCCAATGTCGAGAAAGTCAGAGCTTGCAGACCATGCCTGGGCACAACGATGCACAACGTGAACTCCGACGAAGCTGACAACCGTGGACGCTTGGACTTGGACCGACATGCGGCAGCTGTTGCCGATTCGGGCGCAAAAGGCCATCTCGGAGGGATCAGAGCTGGCTTGATAGATACCAAGATATTTGAAGAATGAAAGATACCCAAAATCCCAGAGAATCACAATACTATCTGATAGATTCTACATGATTCTACATAATTTTACACGCAATAGACTGTCCAAAGCTTCCATCGCCTGCCGCGGCCCATGCTGGCAGAGTTCCTGCAAATGTTTTCTTATCACAGAAATGCACATGTCTTGTTTTCCTTCTGCGAAGAGCTTTCATTGATGCAGTGTTACAGCTGCCTCCAAGTCGACCAAGTACTGCCCCTTAGGGCTTGCGGGAGCATCACCAGCAATGCTCAGCCTCAAAACCAGGGCGCGCAAAATATCGTACAATGTTTCAATGATTTTGAGTTAAACAGGAACGGTGTGAAAAGCGCTGACTGCGAAGCAAGGCCAACATGCATTGAGCATCTTTAAGCGTGATTGAGATGGTCACAGTGGCAATTCTTCGCAATGGGACCCGCCAGTGGCACTTTCCTCCTCCAATTTGCGATGCTTGAAACTTGAAACACGGGTCATAGACATCCATGGAGACTCAGGTCGCAAAGTAAAGCCCTGGCCTCAAGATCTGCGTTGGAAAATAGTGCCATGAATTGCAACAGCGTCGCCTGACCTCGACGTCAAATCAGTTTAAGAAGTCCACTTCCATTGCCACATCCTGGGGCTAGCACCATGCTCCCACAAGCCATCGATGTGTAGCTGCACAGCCAGCCCTGAATCCTGCACTCGCTGCGTGGCTTTTGTCTTCCTTTTCAAGATTCAAACTGTTTGGAAGTGGGCATAATCTTGGAACACGTTGGAAAGAACTCGCAACTCTTAACCTTTCCGGCGATTCAACACAACCAGGTCCTTAACAACGAGACTGGCAGTGGGCTTGGAGGGAGGTGTCAAGTGTGGCAAGACCACCGCCGGTGATGTGACCTCACAACCCACCCCGCCGAGGAACTCTGTGGCAACATGATGATATGAAAGAATATGAAAGACCGAAAGACCCGGACCAGGCCACAAACATGGCGAAGTCGCCTTGATATCACAGGAGATCACAGGGCATCGGTTTTCCCCAGAGTTGCTTCTCAGCAAAGTGCAATGAGTTGCTCTGAGCTGAGGCAAGGGCACGAAAATCGTTCGAACCACTTGGGGTAACAGTACGCGAAGACCTCGGGAGCATCAGGCAGTCTTTTTGGAGTGCTGTTTTTGGGGCTCTTATTGGTGAGCCTGGAGTAATTACTCCAGTACTCCAGCCAAGCTCAACACCAGACCCAGAAGAAAACCTGGAGTCCTCGTGCAACATCCAAGTCATGCCCATCATGCCATACCCATATGGTCCGACTTGGTCCGATCTGTTCGCTCTAGAGAGAGGTGCTGAAAATTTCATAGTGGATCAGAACAAGCAGCAAGAATGTTGGCAAAAAATATGGTAATGCAAATATCTGAAGTCCTTTCGAAGATCGGTTCGGAGTGGCGGCCGTTGAAAAGTGGCCAGCTGCCACGTTGAGTCGGCCGCATCCTCCATCCTGTTGAGCAGAGAGAAGATGTATCGCAGTGTTTGATTCGCTTCAAGCAAAGGCACTCTGCCATGTGTTTGGAATTCGTTTCCCCTTTCACAATGCGGACAAGGACTCTTGAACTTTTGAAAGCTCTGCTGAAGATCAAACCACTAAGCCTCCCCTTCGATTCTCCGTTCAAATCACTCCATTTTGCCTCCACTCCACAAAAGAGCATTCCACAGCCCAGGTTGCCACCATGGCAGGAAGCCTCAGAGGTGAGGTTCGTACTGCAAAACACAACAATTGACAAGTCTTCCACAGCGCCAGACCAGAAGGAGTACCAGCTCACTGGCCTTGGTCACCACTTCTGGGCCACACTCTGAAGTGAACGGTTTGGAAACCGAGGATGACATTCTCCATGAGTCTCCATGAATTTCCATGATTATCCTTTATTTAAATAAATATTCATTTTCAATTTTATTCATATTTAGGGTCAAGAGAGAGTCTGCCCAAAGACTTTAGCTGCTGACTCGGACTCGTCACCGCTCGCCTCGGCAACCTGCAAGCTGCAAGCTGCAAGCTGCGGTCATCGCAGCACATGTCACAAGGCTGAGGATGGCACTCCCGCGAGCGTGTCGTCTGGTACAGCCCGAATAGGAGGGATCCCATGCCTTGGCTGAGAATCTTGCATTCAAATTTTAAATTCAAATCATCAAAATACATCAAGATCATTCAAGATCCATCAAAAACATAAAGTCCTTATCAAGCGGTATAAACAAGCATCCAGAAATGCGAAAGCATACAGTACAAGTGTTTTTGTATACTGGTTAAGGGGTGTGATCGCGCAGGCATCCATAGAAACAATATGACTCTGACTAAGTATATCCATCAGTCAGTGGTATGAACAAGGGAAAACCATGGAAAGTCAGAGCATTGAGATTCAAGCTCGGTCCCTGTCAAAGGCTGCTTGAACTCCTGACAGGGCACCGACAAGACACTTTAACAAGTCCTTTCTTGCGCTCTACGTATGCTAAGACTGCGAAGATCTACACAAACCCACAGGATAGCCTCATACTGTTCTTGCCACTCTGAATCGATTCGCCAACGTCGAGAAAGGACTCGCACCCCATAGCCTCCAGCCAATCCAGCGACGAGAAATATATATGTACATATACAATATAATCACATATCATATTATGAGGGAGAGAAGAGATATAGACATAGACATAGACATAGATATATAGATATAGATGTATAGATATAGGTATATAGATATATAAATATAGATATAGATATTAGAGATAGATAGATAGATAGATAGATGGATGGATGGATAGATAGATAGATAGATAGGTAGGTAGGTAGATAGATAGATAGATGGCTAGACAGATAGATAGATAGATAGATGGATGGATGGATAGATAGATAGATAGATAGGTGGGTAGGTAGGTAGGTAGATAGATAGATAGATGGATGGCTAGACAGACAGACAGATAGATAGATAGATAGATAGGATAGGATAGGATGGGATGGGATGGGATGGGATAGGATAGGATAGGATAGGAAAGGATAGGAAAGGATAGGATTAGATTACATTAGATTAGATTAGGTTAGATTAGATTAGATTAGATAGATAGACAGACAGATAGATATATTATACATAGCTGCATGTCCCAATATCTGCAAATGCTCTAAGATAAGATGCTCTAAGTTCAGAACGCTCGCCAGGCCAGAGATGCAATAATTTACATGACAGTGGGGCCTGAGCGGAAGCCACTGCCTTTGACATGTTGCAGGGATGAACATGCTGCCATGTTGCCATGTTGCCTCCAATGGCTCCTCCGTAGCGAGCACAGGCTGCCAGACACCGTCCTAGGCATGGAACATTTTGTGACTTAGAATGCGGCGCTGCCAATCAACGAGACAATCTCAGTGGCACAGCATCTCTATCAATATATACAGTACCAACTTGATCCTGTCCTGCTGTAGTTCGATGCGACATTGCAAAGCCTGAACATCTCTAGACATCTTTGGATTTCTCACACAAGGGTCACCCTTGCATACCAGAGATAATGATGCTGATGTGATACACTGTGATGCGCCACAGCTTTAACTTCAAAATAGAGCTGGCGCCTTTACATGTCCTGTCGCAGAGACGGCCTCAGAAAGTGAAAATAAGTCCATTATCTCATCGCCGGAAAAGGCCATTAGAGGCCGGGATTTGACGATCTAATCTCAAAACACATCCGATGTGAAGGTTGGATAATGTAAAACGATGCTATGGTCTGCCGTTTATTTCACATCAGCATATGCCCTGACTCCATGGCAAAGGCTCCGACATGAAGTGAAATAATTGCCTCTGTGAAGCTCTCCTCACAAGGAGAAATACCTCAGAAGCAAATACTGTGATTGATGTTTGTAGTGGAGTCATGGATCATTAAACTAGCGGGAACTATGGAAATTGAAACTAAAAGGAACATGCCTTCAGGAGCTCTAAACTCAGGATTCAAAGGCTTGTTCTGTGCAACGAGGGGTGTTGATACAATCTGTGCCCGTGTAATACTGAGAAGCGTGTTGGTTGGATCTGTACTCAGTCCGTGCCAAGTCCAGCACTAATTTTCAAAGGCTCCTGGCAAAGCAGTTGACTGATAGCACTGCAGATGCAATGAGGACCTGCATAATGAAGGACAAGCTCATCGCTATGGGTAAATGATGAAAACCCATCCATCCCACCCATGCGCTCTGCAGTGCGCATTTCTTTTTGGATTGGCCGGGCTTTGATGCGGTTGCATCCCTTTCAAAGTTCAAATCTATGCCATGATTGGCACAGACTTTCAATGCCAATTTTGGATGGCATCAGCCACCTGCACCTTCTTGCTCCAGCGCTGATGCCTTGCACTTTTTGCAGACTTCACGTTCTCCATCGTGGAATTCATAGTCGGATGAGTAATATTTCCACCCGCACAACGTTTTCCTCAGTGGTGCAGGCGAGCAAAGCACTACTCTGCCATTGCGGTGGGTGATCTGATTCCTGGTGGACTTCACCCACTTTGGCAAGTACTTTGTGTAGTCGTTGTACTTTGCTTCTAAATCCTTTACTGAGGCTTCCAGCCTTGAGGATGCCACCTTCGTGCCTTTGACAAACGACTTGATCTCTGATTCCAGTTTCTCGATCACCTCTTTGCGCACAAAGTCGTCCGTGACCCGTGGGATCGCGTTTGCTTGGGACTCTAGTGACTCCTTGCCTTGGTTGATCATGTTTGACAAAGTCCCAAATCGATTGCTCTCCGAGTTGAAGGCGATCGTTTGCAGCGCTTCCTTCGCGTACTCCAGGATAATGTTGCTCTTCCACCTCCTAAGGAAAGCGACTTGGCTGCTGGACCATCCCTTCCTTATATACTGGAGTGCTCCTGACCTGCGTGTTGAGTGCCCTGTAGTGGTGTCACCCAACACGGCCCTCCAGTCTGCTACCAACTGAGCTTTCGTAGCCCTCGTGCCCTTGACGTCAACCGAAAGAGCGCCTTCTGGATTTCCTGTAGACACGCTTGACTCGTGAGTGCTTCCAGTACAGCGCAAGGGCATCTCAAGTCGCATGCTCCTCCGCACAGGCACTGCAACGTGCGAGAAATCGACGTGCCCTGCTGGTCCATCTGTCAAAGTGACCAGCCTGTTCTTGTGGTCGAACTTGACGTCATTGGTGCATAGGTTCGCCAGTTCGATCTCTCTCATCATCCAGTGGACGCCGCACGCGAAAAGGTGTACAGCCATCCTTACTGTGGTAGTGGGCTGATCTGGATCAGCCAGCAGCGGGAATTTGGCCCATTCAGCCTCCGCTACCTCCGGGGCTTTCTTCGGTGGCCCTTTTCCCCTGCATGCGGCCTTCATGCACAGCTTGAAGTGCCTGTCCAGTAAGTGAGACCACGACCATCCCTCTTCGATGTGTGCGATTTTGGCTTCCACCAAATACTTGCTGACTTGTATCCTGCATCTCTCAAGGTACCTGCCAGGACCTTGATCTTTATGACTGTGAGGGGAAAGGCGGTGTTGAATGCGGCTTTCAAGATGGTCTGTACCGCACTTCGCTTTGACACCTTCGACGCCTTGCTGGAGTTCGAGAAGTAGTCCCCTTCGATGGCCTCGACTGCACTCTTGACGGCCTTCTTTGACTTCGCCAGCGCTACTGCTATCTTCAGGCACGGCTTGCCGGCGTTCTGAACTGAGGAACGTTTGGGCAGGCCCTGTCTCCTCAGATGACTGCCTTTGTTTCTACGAGCACCCTTCAACTTCTTCACCTTGTGCACGATCTGCTTCCCGTGGATTTCGCTTCAGGGTCTCTACTTTGTGTGAAGGGTCGGGCAGTACCAATGTTGGAATGCCTGACATGGGTTGTTGCAGATGCGTTTAATTTGCATCCACCAACCTTCGTGCCGGAGACGAAATCATCGACTTCCACCATGGTTGGCGTTCTTGTTTTTGAGGGGATTGCCAAAACCTATTGACACCACCCATTAGCAGCTGTTTGAAAGAGGATTGCCTCGACTCCATGCTTTCGATTCCTATGATGCCCGCCGTTTCCTCGATTTCCATGTCTTCGTCATCCTCCTCAGTTAGATCGAACAGCCCCTTCTGGTTGTCCAATTCCGCGATGTGCATATCCTTGGGAGGTTCAGGAGGAAACATGCCATTGCCCTCGCCTTGCCATGTTGGCCGCTTCCGCTCTCCTTGTCACAAATGTCGCCAGATTGACCGCTTCTTGGTTTGGGAACCGCGACATGTGAAGGACGCCTAATGACAAACTCGAGGAGGGTGTGAAATCGTCCTCCACCTGTGGATCTGCCTTCGTCACGTGCTGGGTCGGGACGGCGCACCGTAGGATCCAGCGAGTTGCTATGAAGCTGACCCATAAAAGGAGCAGATAATAACCCCAGCTCAGCCATGACCGCTCGGTCGGGGCCAAGTTGGCAGGATCAATGGGCCCTGGAGCCTGATACAAAATAATGTCGGTCATTTGAGCCTGACTACGGGTTAATATGAAACTTTCTTACCTGAATTTTCCAAGCAAACTCATGCATAAAGTGTGATGAAACATGTGGCTGCTGAGGCGGCTGCACACTTTTGCCCTTCAAATTTGTCTGGAGAAATGTAAAATGTCAGGTCCGGCTGCCACTCAGCGCAAGGTTGCCCATGCGCATTCCGCGGCTGCAGCGGACACCCACAGTTGTGGGTCTTCTCCCGGTGTCGGGAGGCTGTAATACTTGGCGCCCCGGCTCGCGGGGTGTTGGATCGGCACGCCCTCCAGCTCACGGGGCAACTGCGCCGACTTCTGCTTGCTGGGGCGGTTCAAATAGTCGGCTGTCGTGTTGGCCAACCCTGGGATGCGCGTTGCCTTCATGTGTTCCACGTTCGCCATCTCGCAAGCTATGGCCAGTTCGGCCCCCAGGAAGTTCAACGCTGGAGTGGAGTTGCCCAACTTCTGGGTCATGGCAAGGGCAACCAGGCTATCTGACTGCACTTGCAGCGCATGCTCAATTCCTTCGCCCAGTGCTTCAGTGCGACCACCACGGCCAGCGTCTCGACGATGCCTTGGGAGCTTGACTTGCCATGTTCGAATCCAAGGGCCTTTGCGTCTTCGGCCGTGACCGGCGAGCTGTAGGCCCAGATGACCTTGTTGTTGACCAGAAGTACCGCTCCTAGCCCTTCTGGGCTGGCGTCCGTGATGATGGCGGCCGATGGGTCGGGTACTTGCTCCGGTTCAACTTGCACTTCTTGTTGGGCTTGTCCATCGCCGACCCCAGGTAGGATATGAGCCAGCGCCTCGACTGCTCCAGTTGCTTCACGGGGAAGAGAGCTGACTTGTCTCGAGTGTCGTCGCGCTCGCCCCTGCGCCGGTCTTCGGCTCCAGATTTGATGTCCGCCAGTCGAGTGTGAAGTACTTGGTAGAAAATGCTCACCACCCATCGTGCCCGTGGTAGAATTCCTGATAGCCACGAAGCTTTGCCTGCTACTTGCCGAAGTTCACGAATAGGTGCCATTCCACGGCCTTCCCAGCTCTTCAAGATGTTCACCAGGTCTCGGGTGTAAGCGTCTGGCAGTCCCATCATCAAGTGGTCCTCGGTGAGTGTAAGTGACACGCCCACCCAGGCCAATTGGGAAGATCTGGCCCTCTTCTTGATGGACACCTTGAAGCCCAGTGCCGCAGTCGTTGTGAGCAGCATGCTGAGGACTAGGTTGCAAAGGAGGGCGATGAAGTAGTAGGTGTCTTCCGTGACATGGGGGGCCAAGGTGTGTGGGATCTCCTTTGCGGTGACACACAGTGACATGAAGGCGTCACTTATGTCCAACCACTGGCCCTCGATTCCGCCCTTCGTGCCGTAGGTCGAACAGGTCTCGAACGGAGTCCAAGGCGCCCTTCGGTCGTGGGAGGACCAGCTTCTCCGGGAGAGTCGCCTTTGAGTTTCCCCCGCTTCTTCTCAGGTCGATGATGATTCGACGCTTGATGCCCTCGGGCTTCTCCTTGACTACATATGAGCCCCAACCTGGAGATGGTGCCGTGGCTCATGTTGCGTAGCACCTCTTCTTTCGAAAGCTCCACCAGGTAGCCCTCATTCTTGTAGCGTTCCAGCTCAATGGTGGCGTTGCTTACGTCCTCAGCCACCGACTTGTAGTTCGTGATGTCGCCTCTGGAAAGTTGTGCTTGGGCATCCATTAGCTCCGCTTCGGCAAATGCGTATGGGTCTTCGCAGGAGGCTTTTGGGAAGATACCAAAGGTGCCGATGGGTTCTTCAATACCCAGTTGTGCTCCGCTCCTGATCCACTTCGGCACTTCCGTCTCCCTGTCATTGCCTCTCTCCGCCCAAGCCTGCAGCACCTCAGCGTCCAGCGGGCTCTTGTACTCCAACCTGCCTTTGATGGACAGGGATGGGGGTGCTTGAGCGCCCACAAGTTTCTTCAGTTTGCTTTTCCACTCGGCCACCAATTTGTCATCGAATGCACACTGCGGGGTCCCGTACGTTTCAGCCACCTTCACCGTTGGGGAACTGTTTGACGAAGGTTTCCCATGCAGCTCTGATGCGCAAACCCATGGACATCAAGTTGGGGTTGGCTTGAGCTGCTTTGTAAGGGTCTCTCATACCTCCCACATATGTCGCATCTTCTGCAGCAATGTTGATGTTCCTCGATTTAAGCATGCCGAATTTTCCATCCCCTCCAACCCATGTGTGAACTGTCTCTGGTTGGAGGGATTCCCCCTTGCGTTCGTCACCTCCCTCATCTTCACCTGCGCTGCATGAAGATGTCGACGAGGTGGATGGGTCGAAGTCCGGAGACTCGCTAGCTTCAGTCTTTGTGCGCTTCTCCTTGTGCGCCGATTCCGCCTTGGCTGGCAATGATCGCTGAGAAGCCTTTTCTTCTGAGCTCGAACTTGCCTTCTCGGCCTTCGCCTTGTGCTCCATGATGGTCTCTTTGAGTCTCATTTCTTTGTAGCGCAAGAACTCTTCCTTTCCCATCAAGACGGTGATTACGCATCTCGCGTGCTTGTCACACAGCTCATCGGGGTACGTGCCGGAGGCCCTGGATCTTTCCCGGCCGATGATCGGCTCGTGGCGAGCGCCTTCACCACACTTGCACCTGCCTTCCAGCTCCTTGATGCCCAACATCGAGCCCGAGAATTGTTGAGGCTTGATGTTCCTGTATCCCACTGGCACGTTGGATTGGTAGATGCAGGTGTCGAAGTTTGCTGCCTGCACGAGCTGGTAGTCCAAGAACTCTTGCATCTCTGGCAACTCCCAGGTCGTCGTCCAGTAGAAAGCGACATAGCCTCGCAACACGAAAACTCGCCGCCATGTGCAGTCATCTAACTGCCCGAGTTGCCAGGCTAAGAGGTGATCTTCCAGACTCGAAGGGGGAGGATTCTCCAGGGTTGCGATCGCCCGGATGCGGCCTCCTCTTTTCCGGTTTGCAACGAGTTTGGCCATCGTGATTGACCTCGATGCCATGACTGTGCCCCTGTCACACTCTTCTTGTTGCGCTCTTGTGTTGACCTTCATGCCGTAGGGCTCTGCTTTGGTCCTCACCGGTGGTGGTGGCCCTGGTTCACGGCGGTGCCGTAGTCTGCTGAATGTGCTGCGAGGGAAGCCCGCATGGTAGCCGTCGATGCGCCCCCGCTGTGCCCACGTAAGATGATCCTTGTAGGGCTTGTCCTGCAATAGGTCGCCTGACCCTGATGCCTTCTCCACGCTGATGACTCTCAACCGTACGCGTCTGGACTTCAGGTCCTCAGGGTCAAAGGCCTGTTGGGGAGCTTCAGCATCACCTGAATTGCCTTTTACTTTTATTGACTTCCCCCCCCGGTTCCTTCGTGGTGTCCGGGAACGCCTTGAAGAAGTGCCTTCGCCTCCATGTCGTTTCACGCTTTCTTCTTCCCGTTCGGACAGGATCGAGACGGGTGGCCACGGGAGTCGCACACTGTGCACCTGTGGAGCCGTTGGATCTTTGACAAGCACTGTTGCCCAGGCTGCTGCTCCGAGCAAGGACCATTTCCATTGTTCCAGCCATAGCACTTCTGCTGCGTGTTGGGGCCCTTCTTGTCGTCCCCGTTGTTCTTCGACCTGTATTTGGCCAGCTCCGCTTTGTCGTCTGCGGCTTTCTTCTTTCTGGCCTCCCTTCTGGTTTTCGTTCGATTCCTGGACCTGGAAGTTCTTGATGTCGTGGGTTTCAATGGCTCTATGGCTGGGGTTGTAGCGTCCAAGCCGCCCTGCAGGTAGTAGTCCACGGCCACCATCTCCGCTGGTGTTTTTGGACTTCCTTTTGAACCACTTGCCATCCACGCCAAGGCTGGGCCGTGCACTTGGGTATGCCAAAATTCGGTGTCTGACACCAGTGCACCATACACCCAGTCCCATGGCCTCCTGTCGTCCCACGTCATCGGTGGCGGTTTCCCCGACCTGAGGTCCATTCGCATCCTCGATCTCAGCCTGTTCGAATGAGAAGACCTGGCCATCTCGTCTGCGTTGTACACCAGGTGCCAGCAAGCTGGGTAAAGGCGTGACAGCATTTCGATCACCATCTCGTACCCGTGGAGGTTTGCCAGGCCCACCGCATCCAGCATGATCAGTGCCGATCTCAGCACCCTGAATGCTGCTCGCATCACGACCGTCTTACCCCCCCCAGGGGGTGAAAAATGTAACATACATTTTTGGAGTGCCATTATGCAGGGTTTCGAGACCCTGGCTATATACCACATATATCCTGTGCGACGGTCAAAACTCAATTCATGTGGTGAGGTCATGGCATCGCTTCATAAGGCCCCCTATCGCTACACACAGTCCCAGCACCCTTTTCACCAACTAGGCAGAATTGCTGCTAGAAGAGGAGGATCCAGATGAGGAATCGGATTCTTATTCCCCTTGCGATGGTATCTCCAGGGAAATTCAAACTTTTACGTGATCACCAAGGCTGACGTCGACAGCTTCAGCTAGACACCAGCCGGACTCACTGCAGGTCATCTGACCTCGGAGGCTGCCCTTGGCTTGTGTTGGCTTGTCTTGGCTTGTCTTGCCTGTGCTGCCTTGTTTCCGGCGCCTTTTTTTCTTCACCCCGCCTCCTTTGCAACCTAATACCACGCCAAAATGAATCGGCAAAACCCTGACCAAATGAACCCTTTAAGAATTAACCCAGTAAGAACTTGAGGGTACCCTTGTTCATACTTCCCATATTTTTCCACCCATAGCACAAGTTGTATAGTTTCAAGTGGCCATGTGGGGTACTCCCTAATTTCATGGATTTCAGGTATCGCTCTGGGTATCGAAGGGTATCGCTTCGGGCATCGCTACGGGGACCAGAAATTGTGTGATCTCAGGTGTATGTTTCAAGTGACACGAAATTCTGACAAGCTCCATGTTGCAATTCTACTCCTGGACAGTGGCTTTGGAGAAGCGTCCGTGACCGCACAAGGATGCTTTTTCAACATATCTCAGCACGGTCACTATCTGAATCAACATCATCACCATCACCATCATCATCAGCATCATCAACATCATCAAGCTCATGATGCGTTATGAATTAGTTTCTTGCATACCTTATAGATCAACATACCCCAATATATCAATATTGTTTAATGTAACTATCTCATATATACTTGCAACTACCCAGGAAGACCAGCCCACTGCGACTGCTCCAGTGTCGCACTCTGACATCAAAAGATTGGAAAGTCATGCGCCCAACAGGAAGCTTCAATCATAAACAAAGTCTAAAAAGAGGTATCGCTACATAAGGCCCCCTATCGCTACACACAGTAAATCACATATTTTGAGTAGTGATGGCGGATCGTAATTGAAGCCTTTCATAGCGTCTTTTGACCCTTGCTCCCCCCAGGGGTTGAAAAATGTAACATACATTTTTGGAGTGCCATTATGCAGGGTTTCGAGACCCTGGCTATATACCACATATATCCACATATATGTAGGTTGTTTTACCCAAATTCATAAAGTAAACGTAAAAATGTTACATTACATTTTTAGGCTGGGTAAACAAATTTATAAATCAAATGTGTAAAGACAAACCTCAAAAATGTATGTTACATTTTTTGGGTGGTTTGAATAGAAAATCACAAGATCCGACTTCCCAACCTGAAAAATGTATGTTACATTTTTGGGGTGTTTGATGTATTCCCAAATATGTCCAAACATTGGCATTGGAATCAAACACAATATCAGTATAATATATCAGAATGATTCAGAATGTAGAATGGGGATGAATGGGGAGGATATGGTAGGTTAATGTAGGTTATGGTAGGGCTATGTAGAGCTATAGGGGGGTTATAGGGCAGGGTGGGGGGAAGGACCCAAAAAAGTAACATATATTTTTGGGTACCCCACGGAGATATGTTACAATTTCTACCCCCTAGGGTCCCCCCCAAACAATATTTCCGTAGCTGTTCATGGGGGGGGGCTTGGAAAATGTAACATAGCAGGTGTACCCCGTGCAATGCCCATGTTACATTTTTTACCTCCCCCCCAAACTCCTATATTTCTAGGGGGGTATCAAAATGTAATAATGTATGTTACATTTTTTACCCCCTGGGGGGAGGTCAGGGGCGCCAAGAGGGTAGTGATCTGCTCGCCATTGTATGAACGTGGCAGGTCCTGGCAATTCTTTCACCGCATACCCGTTTGCTGACAGCACATAGGCACGGAACTTCGAAGCTCGTTCCACTCTTTGGCCAAATGTGGCACAAAAATTGCAATGTCCGTGAACGGTGCGATGTCCTGCGCCATGATGCGCCTGTTCAATGCGCTCAGCTGTTCTATTGTCGGCTCCTCCTCTTCTGAAGGCCAGCCGCCCAAGGTCGTCAAATAATTTTGATACCATCGAGCCTTCGCGTCCTCTCCCTCCACAGTGAAGACTCCGTCGTCTCCCTGGTCCAGTATGTTCGTCATCTTTAATTTCCTGTCTGGATCTGGGTTGCCTCCGTCTGTGTTCTGGCAGGTGGGGTTGCGTCTGCAAAAGGGGTAACTTCAGTCCAAGAATCCCAATCCCCACCTGTGCAAGATCCGCCGGGTAAGGCTGAAAACCAACCCCGCATGGGCAGCTTGCACGGCAGTCAATGGAGCACTATGGTGTAGTCGTGCTTGGGCGAGGGCTGCTGCGACAACACTCGCAGGAAGTGACCCAAGAAGTTTCAGGTCGTCCTGCGGGTCCGCTGCCTGGTCCACGAAGGATTGCCAAACCTCGTCGGCCAGGTTGTAGTGTCGGCGCACTGATGTCAACGTGTGCAGCCCCATGCCGACAGATTGTGAGGGATACATGGCCCCACAGTAGAAGCCACCAGCTTCCCAAAACTTTCATGGCTGACCTCGCTGATGGGGCCACCTTGAGCCAAAATGGCCGGCCCCATCAGCTCTTCACATTTGTCACTCTGTAAAACTTTGTTTTACATTCACAAAAACATAGAAAAACATTGTTGCACTCATGCTGCACAACCATCACAAAATTCGTTCGAGGCACATCAAATCCCACAATTTGTGTTGTCCCACACAGTGGGAACTTCCCGAGCTCCTGGGCTACAAGCAAGGAGCAAGGCGCGCTTGCACTCCACTTGCTCCAGTTGTCCCCCTCAGCCACCGAACTTTGGAAAATGCAAGCTTTGGGGTCCTATGGGGTCCTGGACAAAGTCTCCAGAGTTTGCGTCCAAGCTTGGCAGAAAACAACAACATAAACGACACGAAGAAAAAGATACGAAAAGCAAGTGAGACATTGTAAGACCAGCTCCATACGATAGCGCACAGAAAAGATTGCCGAAGCATGGTCCCAATCCTGGCAGGCTTCTAGTCGCTTGCAAAGTCCTCAAGTGATACAGTGATACGCAGGAAAGTGATGAAATGTGATACTGGAAATACTTACAAACTAAAGGCAGCATGACTCCCCTCAGTGCAGGTGATTGCACGGAAACGTCTTCCTGGCAGCGCCATGTGTCAAGCTATCGTTGATACAAACTGTACTCTCCCTCCCTTGCCTCCTTGACGATGCTATCAAGTGAATCAACAAACCAGTCCTGGAAGGCACTGGAAGGGCGGGGGAATTGGCTGGTCGACCTTCCACACGTCAAAGTGATCATCAAACATCAAAGTTGAGCAGTCCTCACTATGCTCGAAAGTTGCATCGCGACAGCGGTACCTTCCACTAGACTGGTAGCTGGCAGCCGGCATTGGATTCAGGTGACTGTTGAAGTGTCGCACTGCCATCGCAAAGTGCCACTGGTGAGCCAGGAAGACATTTGCATGGGCAAGACCTTAGAACTTGAACAGCTACGGATGATCAAACTGATGGTGATGCGCTTGGCTTAAATCTGTGATGCCGGCATACTTTAGAAAAACGACAAGTGAGCTTCCGTCTGGCTGAGATACCTGACACCCAGACTTTGGCTGCAATACCAACATGACGTTTAGTGTATCAACTACCAAGGTCATTTTTGGCACAAGCTGCTTCGCCTCTACTGTTGCTGTTGGTGAAGCAGGTGCTGGCACGCTCACCTCATGGTGCTAGTGTAATTAGTGGGGAACAGGCCCGAAAAAGGCTGCCTTTGTACTTCCATGTGCTTCCAATCACCAAAAAAATCATCTCAACTGGCGGCAGCACTGGCATGGGAAAAGAAGACCGCGAGAGCCAATCAAAGTCCTGACCAATACAAAACGTTGTGTGGGCAAGACTGGCAACTACTGTGCCTGTCCTGACTTATGGCGTGGCTATGGCGCTGTCGCCAAAACAAACCACAAGATTCCACAAGTATACAAACGTGTGCAGTCCTTTCGTGCAGCTCTTCCCCAATCATTCCAGGCAACAATGCTGTCAGGAAAGTCTTTCCTTATCTGATTTGGTTGATGTTTCACGGGCTTTCGTACCTCTTGAAGAATGATGAGTGTCTCTATATTTGGCATATCCAGAGTCAGGGGCTGCAAACTGGAAAAACATCCCATTTTGTATTGTACCGCAAACAACTCCCTATGCACTTGAGGAACCGGCTGAAACACTCGCAGCTGCAGCAGCCCTGACATGAAAACCAACAGTTCTGCAGAGTCAATGTCAGCAAAGAATGTCAGGATCAAACTGATCAAACTATGCTCAACCCCTGCACCTGGATGTCGTTGCTGCAGTGGAATGGCTATACACGGCCCTTGCACCTGATCCAGGATGATCCAGTAGCAGGTCACAAGCCCCTGGAATTCCATGACCTGAACTGCCTGAAAGATCTGAAAGCCACGAAGTGAGTAGAAAGCTGTGAACAAAGCAGCAAAGCTTGCAGAAAATCAGGACAAAACGGATGACAATGGATGACTTTGTTGCCTCCATTCCTTCGACGTCCACAAACTCCTCCGAAACTGGATCCATCAAATCATCAATGCATGGCATTCTCACGTGCCACTTTAGGGTCTGCTCGGACGAAACACTGACAACCCTAAGGTTGCTGAACAAACCATGTTTCATAGACCATCACGTTTCATCACGTTGGAGACAATCAAAAGGTGCAGTCCCCTGTGCCTTCTCCTTACTTCCCTCCTCTTGGTCTAAAGCCTGGCGAAACGAAGACACAGCTGGAAGATGCTCCAAGACTTTGACAAATGGGAAACAAAAGCATTTTACATTTAACATCCATTTACAAGACCATTTAACATCATATAGCATCCTCGTCATTTATCATCAGTTAACGTCTTTTGTGACATTTACAACTCACTCTTTGATTCGCTGCAGGATCCCCACTTTAGCCGGACCACATCTGACTTGTGAATGCAATTAAGCTCAAAGGTCTTGTCTTTCTGAAGGCGCTAAGGGAATGCTTACGCCAGAGCTTACGCCCTGCTTACGCGCCCACACTTTTAGCTTTTACGCTGATGCTTACGTGGGCTTACGCACACCAGGGTTTTGCTTACGCGAGGTCCGTATTGCCTCTCCCTTACTAAAAATGGACAACTGCGTTTTGAACGTGATTGGAATCCCAGCGATGGAACTTCCAACAATACGAGATATGTATAGATATGTATCATCCTCCTGTGTATCATCCTCCTGTGTTGGAAACCCGTCCCGTGGCTCACGTGGATCTGTGCCAGCCTCTGGCAGGAGCTGTCGCCATTGAATTCGGTATCTTGTGGCCAAATCCTCTCCGAGTCAGCTAAAAATTGTGAGCGCCACAGCTAGAGGAGTGATGCTGAGTAAAAAACTGGATGCTTGACAAAGGTGTTTAGACAATAAGAAACGACCTAAAGCACGGCATGCTGTTCTTGGGCAGCATATTTCCTTTTGATGCCAGGAATACTCTCACAAAATATCGCATTTGCGAGAGGAGATTCGGGAGGTTGGGCGCCTCGGAACTAATTACAGTATTGAAAATCTTTAGTCATGTCATGTCATGTCATGTCCTGTGTTTATCCTATCCGGACAACAGCAGGGCAAGGAAACACTACAAAGACGTCTGGAAGCGAGATGCAAACGATCGAAAATCTAGCCACAAATGTCTAGAATCGGGCGGTAAATTTCAACTTGGGCATGGGATCTGGTACATTCATGGTGGTCATCTTCACATCCCAAGTCTGCCCAGGAAGCACCTCGAACTCAAAGTTCGCAACAAATTTTGACATCAAAGTCATGATCTCCATATCTGCCAAGCGTGCTCCCAAACACATCCGGGCACCAAAGCCGAAGGGATTTCCCAAGAACTTGTGGTCCAGGATTGATTTCAAGGGGTCGCCCTTCCGTTGCTCCACAGCATCTTGGAGAAAGCGTTCTGGTTGGAATAGATCAGGGTCATCCACAATGGCCGGATCAGATTGCAAGCCCTCAACAGACATGATGATCCTGGTCCCTGCAGGCACATGGTAGTCACAAAGGGTAACATCCTGATCCAAGAAGCGGAGGGTGAAAAGGGGACCAGGAGGCGTGTGTCTGTTGGTCTCTCGCATCACAGCTTTCAGATAGGGCATCTCTGAAAGCTTCTCGCGGGTAAAGGTACCTGCAGGCCCTAAGGCCTGGTGCACTTCATCCCTCAGGCGCTGCTGCGCAGCCGGGTAGGAAGCTAATTTCAAGATGTTCCACAAAAGGATGTGGTAGGTCGTGTCTACACCTGCCACCACAACAGCCTGCATTTCGGAGACAAACTTCTCAGGATCCAGCTCATTTCGCCGGGCAGCACGCACAACATATGGCAAATCATCCTCAGGACCTTCAAAGTCTTTGTAGGCCTCCAAACAGTCCTTGACCAACTTCGTTGAGGTTTCTTGCATTTTCACAACAATGCTCTCGAACTCACGATACGTGGCGGATGCCTCGGGCCAGTACTTGATGTAAGGCTGCAGGATCATTTTCGCCATGAGACTCACGATCCTCAGGAAATGTTAGCAATGTAGTGAGATCTGATGGGTGTGTACAGCCATGTACAGTCACAAGGACACTAACCAAGATCCAAAGAATTTGAAGGAACAAAACAATCTCAGTGGTTCAATACCCTCAAACTCATCTCACCCCGTGATTCCACAATTTTGCGGTCCTCATCGCTCCATCAACCCATACCCTGTGCTCTTGACTAGCAGAATCATCACTCATGCCGATGCTCTTGCCAAATACAGCTGCAGTGAAAACATCCGCCACTGAATTCATCATGATGTGGTGAAAATTCACTTCTTCACCTGCCCGCGTTTTGGTTTTGAGACTTGTCATGACCTTCTCTGCAGCGTCAGTGACAGGGCCACAATAGGACGTAGCTGCAGCTACGTTGAAAACATCCTTTTGCAAGGCATGCCTGGTTGTGCGCCACTCTTCGCCGTCCGCGGCAAGGGCAGAAAGTGGAAGGCCAGTCTTCTTACAAGCATACTTTTGAGCCCAATTGTCCTTGAGGATTCCTTGTGGATATCTCCCTTCCAGTTGGAAGACCTTTCGAAATTCACGAGGGTCATACACGATGACTGTTGGTTCACCTAGAACGGTGGCATCAACTATGACACCGTAAGTATTGTACATGTATCTGTAATACTCCGAAAATCTGCTGAATCCATAGGACATCATTGTTGGCATGGCTCCAAGCACTGGCCATTTCGGGCCCGGAAGCTCGGAGAATGGTAGCACATTCGTTCCATTGAAGCCTGCACGGAGTGACAGGGCAGCACTTGACTTCCGCGCTGCCACCGCCCTCATGGTCGGTGCCGCAAAATATTTCAATCAAAAAACTGACTCCCCGATAGAGTGGGGCTTGGGCCAGATTTGTTTACAGTAAGACCAAAACCCTTCATCGCAGTGCCAGACATAAACAAATTCATGCAAATAAAAATCGACAAGCAAATTCCAATTGTTCAGCTTCGACCGTGTGGCGCACCAAGTTGTTTCATCAAACAAATCAATACAGGTTATTTGAGTCATATATCTTTGAGTTGCCTGCCACTGTCCAAAGATGTCCAAAGATGATCAAACTGTCAAGGCTTCCTTAAGTGGCATGTCTGTGGATTTAAGTGGCATGTCTGTCCTCAGGAGACAATCCCAGAGGCTCGAGCACGATGTGTTTGTTCCCGGCCCCTGTGGGTGGTTTGACTTTACGATTCGTTGTGCGAACACTTGCGTAAGTCGCGAAATGCACCTTGATGGCAATCTTCTACATCAACGCACCTGGCAAAACATGCGCTGGGTTTCCTTGAATGATTGTTGCAGTGAATTGTATGAACCCTTATACTGATACTGATGTACAGTGCAGCACCTGACTGTAACATTTGCCCAGGTGACCACTATATGTTTAAGTGTACCTCAAAATATTCAAGTTCAATGCAGAAGCAGAGACACAACATCGTGATGATAATTTATCACACGTGCTTGGAGTTCTTTTTCACAGGGGACCATTGCGCCACTTCTATGATCCTATCTATACACATATATACACATTGTGTTATTTTTATATATATATGGTACCCCCCCATGACCTACCTTTCAAGCAAATTTGATGGTATTTACAGTGTTTTTCTTAACATTTTGAACTCTAAAACTTAGGGCATTTTTTGGTGATCGAAAATTGCAATTTTTTGCAAGTTTGTTCCCATCCCACCCTTCCCTAAGTACATCAGATTCAAGATTCAAGATCCCAAGAAGACTTCTTGAATCCAAGGGGGTAGGATTCAAGATTCAAGATTCAAGATCCCAAAAAATACTTCTTGAATGTGAAGGCCTTCAGCCTTGAATCTTGAACCTTGAATCCAAAGAGGTTGGATTGAAGAAGTTTTTTCTGAGCCTTGAATCTTGAATCTTGAATCCACAGAGGTTGGATTTAAAAAGTTTTTCTGAGCCTTGAATCTTGAATCTTGAATCCAGATACTTAGAATTGTCAGCAGAAATTGCAATTTCTTGCAAATGATCTTCCTGTCTGCTAAGGACATTCCTCAGACAATGCTAAAGCCCGTAATTATGTCTTTGCTTTCCAAGCAAATCAATCAATTTTGGCAACAATAACGAAAAACATGTTTAAAAAATGCAATAAAGGTAATTATATAGATTCATCATAATAAAAGTAAAATAAATTGAAAAAGAAGTTCCTGCAATTTTAAACAGTAATTTCTTTAACAAATAAGAAAAACTTGAACAATAATAAGGAAAAAATACATGAAATCATCCGATAGCAATACCTCTTTATCTACAAATCAATGAAAACCTTCCCAACAAAATGTATTAGAAAGGGCTGCAGATAGATCGGCAAAGATTTTTTTTAAAAAAAAACATGGTTGCAATTTATGTTTAGAAAAAATGTAATAGACTTTAAAAACCCTGAAATGCTAAAGTTCATATCACAAAATGGTAGAACATTATCATTAAAAAAAACAGACAAATCAATCTGAAAAAAACATATTCAAAATAAATAAAAATAAAAATAGTTTGATTAACTTAAAACTAGATCCTCAGAATATAGAGCAAAAAGAACCAATAAAAAATATAGGATTTTTCGAGGTAAAAATACATATTCACCCAATGCTAGACACTCCTACAAACACATCACAAAATTAAGTACTTTAAAAAGTAAGACCATTTATAATATGACAAATACATTAAAAATTGATCTAGATTTGTTTGTTTTTACTTGTTAATTTAGTATCATCCAATCATTTATGTTTAACAAAAAATATCTATATAATTCAAGCACTCCTGGATTTAAAGCAATGAAATTACAAGATCATCGACATTTTACAGATTTTAAAAATGAATTGTTACAGCAAAAAAATATCATTTTTTCTGTAAAAAATGGAGATGTTGGGGAAAAAATAAGTGGAAACAACGCAGATTCACAAGAACAAATAAGAGAATTAACATCAAATGATAACATGATTGATTATTGTCAATTTATATACTATGCAAAATTTGATGGAATGTTATGAAATTGCAGGAGGATTAAAAAGGTAATTGCATTGTAAAAACAATATGTCTAAAATTTACAACTGGAGATCAGTCTTTTACATATGTATTGTACTTTTTACACCTTTATTATCTGCAAAATCTTACGCAAATAAAAGTTGTACTCATCAAAAAACATTAAAAAATAATATGCCATACTCTGTTGTAAAAACAAAAAACAAAAATTCAATCCATATATTCCCGTAATTAATCATATTGCTGCAAATCCTCAAGGTTATGCAAATCCTCAATGTTGTAGAAGATATTGAAAAAGCAGACTTGCAAGAATCAGATCGTGGGTATAAAATTCGTGTTGATATATTAAAAATGTCTGAAAACTTATAATCCCGGCAAGGGGGCGCAAACAGTATGGGGGGAGTAAAAAGGTCATGTATTATAATGATGATGATGGTGATGTTAATGTTGATGATGGTGTTGATGATGATGGTGATGATGATGATGATGATAATGGTGAAGAGGATGAGGATGAGGATGAAGATGAGGATGATGATGATGATGATGATGAATGATGAATGATGATGAATGATGATGAACGATGAATGATGAAGGATGAATGATGAATGATGAATGATGATGCGGCCAGCATTTTGTGCGAGCCTGCGCAGTCGAATGCACATGGACATGTCACAAGCGACATTTTGCACGGAAATTTAAAGGGAAAATGCCGGACGCTAATCCCGCCCGCGGCCAACATTTTGTGCAAGCCTGCGGAGTCGAATGCACATGGACATGTCACAAGAGGCATTTTGTACGGAAATTAACACGGAAAATGCCGTATGCGTATGCCGCGACCAGTGTTTTGCGCGAGCCTGCGCAGTCGAAATGCACATGGACATGTCACAAGAGGCATTTTGTCAGAAATTTACAGGGAAGATGCCGGACGCTTCCGATACCACCTCGATTGAACACCGGCCCTTAACTGTTACCGTAAGAACGCCTCAAGGGGAAAAAAGAAAACATTAAATGTAATGAAATAAATGTGTCAAATATAGATGTTACAGCGCTATGCTGCAGCTACATATGTGGGCAGGATGTGTCCAGGCGCATGCGCCCAAGATACTTTCCTGATGCAGTGCTACACTAGGTGATAAGATAAGAAGGAAGACAAGGCATTCAGGAACATATCTGCTACACAAAAGGTAGGTCTTGGAGGGGTGCATATATATATGCATATTATATGCAATTATAAATTAAATATAGTTAAATATAATTATATTATATCCCAGATGCTCCATGTATGGATATTTACCAACATTTGCCCTAAAAATCACCCAAATGTAGGTAAATATACCATACATGGAGCATATGGGTATATATATATAATTAATATATATATATATAATTAATATATATATATATAATTAATATATATATATATAATATATATACATATATTAATATATATTAATATTATATATATATTAATTATATTAATATATATTAATATAATATATATATATATATTAATATATATTAATATATATTAATATAATATATAATACATATATATATAATTAATATATATTATATATATATACATATCCCATGGTCAAAGGAAAAAAGACAGCTGCACACTCGAAGTGGCACCAGCGGCTGTGTCGGTGCCTGTGATTCAGCATCACTGCACAAAAACTGACAGTTGGAAAGCCCAGCAACCAATCAAAAGTTTGACGCGGGTTCGCCCTGCGTCAACTTCTAAAGACATTACGATTTCTGAAATATAAGTCCAAAGGCCCCATCTTGCAGTATCCGAAAGAAACCACCCGGCTTACTAGTGCTTAGAGCTTCTGGATGGTTCTTATGTATTTGCTGTCTGCAGTCCTGAATCTTGGCCTGTACTATCTGCACTTGCTGTGGTGAAGGTTGGTCATTAAGCCGGCCTGCATGGCCTTCTTTGCTTCAAAAACCCAAAAACCCGTTGGAAATTCTTAGATTCTTAGATCATTTCCAGTGCGAAAGAGAAGACCGGGACACGCAAAGCCTCCACTTGGCTGATGCTTGAAGAGCGTCGTCTACCTTCACTCCCCTTGCTGATCGAATCCTTGCACAGTCATGTGAAAGTCAAGTGGAGGTCAGCATGCATTGTCTACTGTCTACTCACAATGTTGCAACCCGCATACACACATCAGTCAAACACGGTCCTGTCGAGTTCGCTCCTTGGTCACATGTGCGCAAATGTGCTTCCACTCCGCGCATCTCTGCGCTGTACAGTTCACGAAAGCACTGACGTGTCTACAGTAAAATTGCTAGATGCAATGAGTCAATGAGATGCAGACGGTTTTGGCACCAGAATTCTTTGTCCTTGCAACTTCACATACCAGTTGCTCACTATTTCTGCACTAGTGCTGTGAGGTAGCAACAGCTGGCAGTGCGGCTGCTGTTGCAATCTGTTGCTACATCATGTGTACAATATGATGTATTGCATATAATAATGCGTGCCAAGAATCTGGTCTTCGCCAAATCCTTGCCATATCTTGCCATGGAATAGGTCAGTGAGATCCATGTGTGACGATCAGCTTCCGAAAAGCACAGACCGAGGGACCGGCCTTTGCTATCTTTGCGACCCAAAGGTGGCAATGCACGCCTGCTAGGTGGAAATAGACCAAGATTTGCAAGTGCGCAAGCACAAGATGCATGAAGATACCATTCCCACGTCGCAACTAAGCCAAAACAACCAAAAATGTCCAAAGACCCAATGGCATGCTCGCAAAACACAAGTCTAAAGCCATCCAGAGCCTGGAGATCGCCAT